TGTTTTGGATAGCGCCTCACAAACCACACTTATTTCAGAAAGTTGTGCAAATATATTAAATGTAAAACGCTCTGCTGTTGGCGTCCCTGATATCAAAGGAATTTCTGTGGCTAACATAAAGCCTAAAGGTTTCACACATCTGAATATCTCTTCCCTCAGTGGGTCAAATTTGGCCTCTTCTCATCCTGTTCTTATTCTTGATCAGATTACAAGTAACCTGCCTCGAGTTCAACTCTCACCCTTCATCAAAGCTCAACTGAAAAAATACATGCTAGCCGATCCAACCTTTGACTTGCCAGGTCCCATTGATTTATTGATAGGAGCGGATCTATTCCCTCAAACTTTACTTGAGCTGCCTGTAAGTATGGGAGAAAATTTACCCTTCATTATGAGAACAATTTTTGGCTTTGTTGTGCTTGGTGCCGCACCTATTGCTCCCTCCAATCAACCGCTTCAATTTAGTGGAATATCCACTCTTCTCTCAACTAACGACTTAGATCTTCATGCTACTCTTCAACGATTCTGGTCAATTGAAGAACCGCCTCAAACTTTGAAAATTTCGCCAACTGATGCAGAGTGTGAAAAACATTTCCTAAACTCACACTCACGTGACAATACCGGTAGATATATCTGTCGTTTACTGTTTAAGGAATCCCCTCAGAAATTGGGTCTTTCAGCACCTGTAGCTAAACGTATGTTTAACTCACTTGAAAATAAATTTGCTGCTCAACCAGACTTCAAGGTGAAATATGTTGAATTCATGCAAGATTATGAGACTTCTGGTCATATGGAAATTTGTGAATCAATTCCGCCCTCAGACGAACCTCACTTCTTCCTACCTCATCATGGTGTTTTTAAAGGAGACAAGCTAAGAGTGGTTTTTAACAGTTCGGTCCCAACTTCTACTGGAATCTCGCTTAACAGCTTACAACACCAAGGCCCAAAACTGCATAACGATCCCACTGATATAATTTTTCGCTTTCGACAACATAAATATGTCTTCACATGTGACATAAAACAAATGTTTAGGCAGATATTAATTCATGAAGATGATAGAAAATTTCAATTGATTTACTGGAGAGAAGAGCCCTTTCATCCGATCAAAGTGTATCAGTTAACCACGGTTACATACGGCATGAGTTCAAGTCCATATTTAGCCAATCGTGTTATCCAACAGCTAATGGCCGATGAAGGTGATAACCATCCGCTGGCAGCCAAAGCTCTGCAAGATCAAATCTATGTTGATGACGCTTTGTTAGGTTGTGACACTTTAAATGAAGCCCTTGACTTACAACAAGATGTTATCGATTTACTACTCAAAGGAGGATTTCAGCTACGAAAATGGTCTTCTAATAATGAAAAACTTCTTGAAAATGTTCCGCTGGATCATCGTGAAACTCCCCTCATGCTTCGAAGCACTGATCAACCTTGTCACAGTGTCCTTGGCTTAAAATGGATACCACAAACAGACAAATTTTCTTATGCTATACCCAAACCCTTAGGAGTACATACAAAGAGAGCACTTCTTTCTTTTATTGCTCAGATTTATGACCCCATGGGGCTAATTTGTCCACTGGTTTTTTGGGCAAAGGCATTAATGCAGCACATTTGGTGTTTAGGGTTAGAATGGGATACTCAGCTTCCTGAGACACTTTCTGAGAAATGGTCTCAATTTATCAGTGAGCTCTCAGAAATTGACAATCTAAAAATACCTCGCTACCTTCCCATGGTAAACGCCAGTAACATACAATTACACGACTTTTCAGACGCTAGTGAATCAGGCTATGCTTCATGTGTCTTTTTAAGGTTAGAAGATTCTGATCACAATGTTTCAACTCATTTGTTGATTGCAAAATCAAAGGTAGCTCCGCTTAAACGCACTACAATACCTAGGCTTGAACTATGCGGCGCTCATTTACTTGCCAAGTTGCTTCACTATTGCATCAATAAGTTTGATAAACAATACCATATTACAGCTATCAATGCGTGGTCAGATTCTATGATTGCTCTGTCATGGATCAACACCCCATCTTACAAGCTAAAACTATTTGTAGCAAATAGAGTAGCTCAGATACAAGAGCTTACTCCTTCATGCATATGGAGACACGTTTCCTCAGCAGAGAACCCCGCTGATTGCGCCTCTCGTGGCCTAACACCATCCGCTTTAATGAATCATGAGCTCTGGTGGTCAGGACCTAAGTGGCTTAAATGGGACTCAATTACATGGCCACAAACTAAACTTTCCCCAGATCCTGAAGAATCTCTTAATGAACTGAAATCAGAGACATTCAACCTCATAACATCAACCGATGACTCTAAACTAAATTTTTTAAGTAAATATTCCTCATGGTCTAAACTTGTAAACGTTATGGCTTATGTTCTTCGTTTTATTAAATGTCTAAAGCTAAAGGCAAAAATAACCACTCATTTAACCAAACAGGAATTTGAAAGTGCAACAAATCGCATATGTTGGTGTGTGCAAAAGGAATGCTTTGCAAATGAGATCAAATCGCTTCAAGCTAAGAAAACATGTTCTACCCAAATACAACGGCTTGCACCTTTCTTAGATGAAGAAGGAATCATACGAGTTGGTGGAAGACTGAAAAATTCACCACTTAAGTACAGTGCAAAACATCCCATTTTGCTTCCCAAGAACCATTTTGTAGTCCACCTGCTGATTGATTTCTTTCATAAAATATACCTACATGCAGGACCACAACTACTTCAAGCAATGTTAATGCAAAACTACTGGATATTGTCTCAGAGAAGTGTTATACGCTCCAGAATATTTAAATGTATTCGATGTTTCAAATCTAAGCCTAAAATGACAGCACCTTTAATGGGCGACTTACCTGCTGGACGTGTTACGGCTACTCGTTGTTTCAATGTTTCCGCTATGGATTATGCTGGACCTTTTACAGTAAAGGTTCACATCTTACGTCGACTGCAGCCAATTAAAGTCTATCTCTGTTTATTTATATGCTTTGCCACAAAGGCTGTACATTTGGAGATGGTCACAGATCTTTCAGCAGATGCATTCATTGCTTCCTTAACTAGGTTTACTGCCAGACGAGGCACTATATCAGATTTATATTCAGATTGTGCCACCAATTTCATTGGAACAGCCTCAACGCTTAAAAAATGCTTCCAAGACCTAATGATAAAACCTGAAACACAACGGTTTGCCCAGAACAACAAAATAACTTTCCATTTCATACCACCTCGAGCTCCACACCAAGGAGGCTTGTGGGAGCGGGCAATAAAAAGTGCCAAATACCACTTGAAGAGAGTCATAGGTACACAAATTCTAACCTATGAAGAGTTTCTAACACTGATTGCTCGTGTTGAGTCAATGTTAAATTCAAGGCCTATTACACCACTCTCTGCAGACCCATCTGACCTTGAAGCATTAACTCCAGGACACTTCCTGACAGGAGGACCTCTGACGTCTCTAATAGAACCTCATCTCACGGATATCTCTGTAAATCGCCTGAAACGGTGGAAACTTGTGCACGCATTTGCTCAACACATATGGAATAGATGGCATAGAGAGTATCTGTAGACCCTCCAAGAACGATCTAAGTGGATTACTCCAGAAGAAAACCTCAAGATCGGAGACTTAGTAATCATTCATGAAGACAATACTCCACCTCTTGCTTGGATGCTTGGTCGAATCATCTCAGCCTCTCCTGGTCAAGATGGCACTGTAAGAGTCGTTCAAATCAAGACATCTACAAAAACCTTAACACGACCTGTAGTTAAGGTTTCCCGCCTTCCTATAAACTAACCTAACATAACTCTGGCTACCAACCCCCTTCCTTATTTTTATTCCTCATATTTCAATCATGCATGGTTCTTGTTTTTCTGTTGAACCGGATCGGTTCAAGGGGGCCGGTATGTCAAATATATACACTGTTTTGTTCTAAGTATTCTTATATTAATTTTTAATTTTAATGCACTCTAATAATATGTACATAATATGTAACTGATTTCACCACAATCTCCATTTAAATACCATTTCAAATAGTTAAATGTTTTCCTCATAGAGTGCATCAGTATCTTCAAATCCCAATGGTTTCAAGACTAGCTCTCTGATTGGTCACTGATATGTATCACATGACCAACTCCTTCCTTCAGTAGAGTAGTGGCACACTCTTGGGCAAGTCCTGTTGCTATGAGGACTTAACATGCCTTTTCTCCTACATTTTCAAATACCATAAACCTCTATACCAACATAAATATTTACCGCTGGCTTATAGCTTATTATAAAGACAATTGAAGTGTTTTTTAACATCATATAGTGAGAAAAAGTGAACTTATCAACATTATAGCATTTCAGGATTCATCAAAGGGGGCCCCCAGTCTACGCATCAGTTTAATAACAAAAGGTTAGTGTATCCAATTCAAAATTACTATAATACAGTCCACATTGCTTTCTAATTAATACAAATTCCCCACAACAATAGTAAATCATCATATGACGCCAACTATCATATGTAACGCAAATATGCGACGTCAGTCTATTTTAATGATGACTAGGCCATCGCATATGTGCGTCGCTGGTTTATAAGAATGAAAAATGTTGTGCTATTGTGGTAGCAAACGTGTCAAATGGTGGATTTTTCAAAGTTAACAAACTTTACTGTAGAGATTTCATTTTTATACTCTTGTAATTAAGCTCGAACACAAAAGTATTCAGATAAACATTGATAAAATATTTTGTAAAAGCCAATTCAGCCAATAAATTCTCTTTGGTCAGTGACATTAACATTACAAAAGGTTATTATTATCATCATTAGACTACACTTAAAAAATTCATAAATTAAAACCTATCGAGGTTTGTACCGTACAGTACATGTATCCAGTGGGCTAGAAAATTCAAGTTAATTTAAAAATCCCTGTGTTTTAAGGGGTTTCAGCTACCAAAAATATTCAGGTTCTATAGTAGACTATTTTGAACAATTCAATTTGGTAATTGAAATATTTTAAATTGTTAACAGGATGTTCAGAGTGTCCACAAGGACGACTCCCAGAGTTCTCTAGTACCTGATCTTCTGGAAAAGTTGAGAATCAAACAAGATGAACTCGACAACTTAAAGGTAATGTTCGCCAACCTAACCTAGATATTCTCAAGTCTCATGACGTAACCTTTATTTGGCCCTCATAAGTTTAGCCTGAAAGAACTCATAGTTTATGTTTTGAAAGAATTGAAAATAGTGACTCAATTGCATGCCATGAGTTCACGGAAGTTTTCTATTACATTTCAAACAGACAAATTCATTTATTTTTAAAATCCAATTAGAGGTGTGCAAGCAGCTTTAGCTGAGTCAAGCCTAGAATACAAGCTCACGTGTTCGGTTGACAGTTACCAAGTCAGAAATCGAGGCAATGTCTCTTTGACGATAGCAATAGCTTTCAATTAGCCATTAATTTTAAACTCGGTGCCTCCTCTTATAATGCTTGTGCGTACTTAAAAATTAAAGCCAACCCTACGTTATAACTTGTATTTATTAATTTCTTTCTTGAATTACTTGTATAAATGACAGAAATATTGTCAAGAGTTAAATCCAAGTCTTAAAACTAAAATATATCATATTTTACATAAACCCCTTCTAGAACTATATAAAAGAACAAATAAAATGTAGCCTATCCTGTGAAATATTGAGCTAGGTGGAGTACCTTACCCAGCTAACCTACCCAGGTAAAAAAATGTATATTTTGTAATGAATATTGACAAATCAATTTTGTATATGACAGCTACTCATTGTACACCGAAGAAGCTCGTCTAGAAAAATGCAGCTTGATCTAAAATTGGAGCTTGCATACCTCTTAAAATGTATAATCATATTGTAAAGTATTTTTCACTAAATTATCTCAAGCTCATCACTTTCCCTCATAGTTTTCCACACCCATTTTTTCTCTCAGGCGTTTTACTTATCTCAAAGATCGATATAAGTCAATTACTTTTAGACTTCATAATTATTTTCATAAGGGTTTTAGTTAAGAATAAAAACACAAAAAGCATAAATCGGCCATACTTTTTATGTATACCATAAAAGGTACTTTGGTATTATCCGGAGGCCACTTATTTTAGAGGGTTTTATTTACCGGAGACCAAAAAATAATGACATAATTGGAAAGAACCTACTTTTAATTGACTTACTGTCCAAACTTGACACGATTACGATTAGCGGCCTTTAAGTTCTGCCTTCCAGAAGGCAGCGATGTCGGTGAGGATTGAGTTGAATGCATCAGCGCTGCTAGCTGCCACATGTACTCCGCCAAGTAGGTATACAACACGCTGCGGCAGTTATGTTAGGTTGGGTTATCATAAATATGTTTTAGGACTTTCCTCGTTACCTTGGCCTACTTGGAGGGAATTAGGTAAAAGTATGACTCATCTGGTATCGTTGAGAAACGACGAAATTCCTACACACATATTTATGATAACCAAAACTAACATAACCGTCACAGTGCGCTGTATAAGGGTGGTCTCCGGGTAATAACAAAGTACCCCATAAAAATACTGTTTTTCTTACGAGTGAATAGCAGTTGCCACCTCTGATCAAAGCTGATGTCACAAAATGTATTCTAAACATTCTGATTCACTCACAAGGAAAAGTATCAGGATATCTTTTTCTTCTTTACACTTTCCTTACTCATATTAACACAACTAACAAAAACAACACGTTTTAACACTTTTTACAAAAAACCATTGCATGCTTCATTTGACCTGTGATATTTATCTTGTAACGATCAGTTGTTATTAACCATTTAACATGATTGTCAGGATAAGGATTTTGTTTCTCCGTACAATTTACTGTCCGCCAAGGAGGCGATATCGCTTTGGCAGCTTGTTCGGAAGGTTTGTATGTGACTTGTCTGCATGCTGGTCCGTCGGTGTTGGATGTAGATGTTCGTATCCCTGGACTGAAGCTGCTGATCACATTGTGGTGAATGTAGCGGTAGCGTCCTCGTACCAACCTTGGCTAATCCAGATGTTTGACAGTGTGGTCAATTTTGATTGGTGTTTTTTTTTTTAGTTGTGGAAATATAATATTGTTTTAACAGAGAAAAAGTGTAGTGTATTTCTTTATTATTACCGAAAGTGACATTCAGGATTTTTGTTTCATTAACTATTTGTAAAAAAATAATCTATGGAAACACAGTTTTTTAATTTAATATATATTTATGTTTAAACAAGATGCCTGAAACAGAATTTTAAAGACTTTGTACCAACAATTAATCTGAATTTAGCCAATTAAATTATATTCAACAATAATATTAGCATTTAATAATTTTTAACTCAAGAGGGGATGGGACTTGAAGTTTTATTCACTAGTAGCTTATGTACAAGGCACAGTATTTCTCTTTAATTTATTTTGATATTACAACATTATAAACATTACGTTGAACATCTGGATTTGCTCTAGGAGTACTAAAATCATGTAAAAAAATAGCCTCTGACTGTACACAATGTGAGAAGAGGATTCATGATACATTTGACAGGCAAAAGTGATCGGAGATTATTAATGCATACATAGCGCAAGCCTTGAAGCTAAACACATTAACCAAATAGAAAAGAGAATCACTTTCTATGGTGTCCCAAGGTAGCTAGTACATTGAATCGTTAGTTTATTGTAGATACTAGATAGACCTAGTGATGTAAAATACCTGGATATTTAAAACTCGGGGTAAATACCCTGGGTATTTACCCGGGTAAATACCCATAATCCAGAAATACCCGGGTATTTTGGGTATTTATGAAATCGATTGAAATTAATTCATATTTACCCCTAAATATGTTATTGTTATCATTACATGATAAATTAGGATAGTCTAACACCTTTTACAGTAACTTGAAGCTTTGCTAGTACCTTTTATTGAATGATTTAGCACTTTTTTGTTATGAAATCAAGACAACACCTAACAGAGAAATAGTGAACCTAAACCTACTTCTACTGCTATTAAATTATGATAGTTAAAATTTGTGTTGTGTAAATGGCTTGGAAGGCTAGACAGACCCAGAGTCTGATTGACATAGGCAGAATGGCAGAATACTGAAAGTACAGTAGACTCCCTCTCATCCGGACTCCTCGGGACCGAGGCTAGTCCGGATAACGGGTTTTCCGGTTAAACCGATATCCCCAAAAATTTGTATCACAAGTTTATGAAATTAGTTTTTTTTATACCATTGATACCAACAAAAGATCTAGAACAAAAATATTATTAAATCCTGCCATCCTACAGATTGAATTTTAATGATTTTCTTAAGTTGTTTACACATTGGCCACTACTATGTTAAATTTTCCTATTTTTCTAAATAATAACGATTACTTTACAAATTATTTTTCTTCACTTTCAATAAAATAAATTCAGCTATCTATCATTGAAATTTAAAAAAAAAATTATAAGTAGTCAGGACCAGTGCAACCATGCGACCAGGGTATTTATGCTTTATGCTCAGACCTGGGTATTTATGGTGATTATACCGAGAAGTAAAATGCTAGTAGTGTCCATATGAAATTTTGTTTAACTCATTTTATTATCATTTTACTATTCTTACAGGGTAATAATTGCAAAAAAACATCTCAATCTTCTCTAACTTTAATACATTTTATAAATACCCAGTTTTTGGGTATTTACCCGGGCCTGGGGTGAATACCCAATTTATATTTACCTACCCACTGGGTATTTACCCGGCCCACATCACTAGATAGACCATTACTTTTGCCATCTACATGTTTGATGACTCGTCCTCTTACAATGTGTTTTAGTAAATTGGTTGCCTACTGAATGGGTGATAAGATAATCGTATACAGGACTGGTGGGCAGACATTTACACTTGAAAACAGTACTGTAATTTAGCTATCTTAATTTTAAAAACTGTATAAGAAACACAAATTCCATTGTTGGATGATTTGGGACAAGCACCCTAAGGGTAACACAATTAATTGCATTTGTAAAACTGAAACAAACCAGCCGTGAAGGTGATAAGGAGTGTTCAGTTCAGATAGTCATGTACAAGCTCAAGTGGATCCAAACCGGCTATTGTTAACCGATGTGGCTGCTATCCCCTTATTTCTGCTGATTGACTGAACTCGCAATAAAGGAAATTACAAAGGCTATTAGCAATAGTTTTCTATAATATTACAAATTAAAGAACCCATTCTTGTTGCAAATAAAAATATCTGAAGTTTCATTGATTTGTGTGACATTCGGTATCAATTTAACTGAAGGTTTCAGAGATACAATTACAAAATATTACTTGTTGCTATTGGGCTCCCAAGCACTATTTATACATTGTATTATTGACAGTTAAGACAAGCGGCAGTATTAAGGGAGTAGCCATAGCACCGTTAACTATAGTCAGCATAGGACACAGGCTTGGATCCACGTTAGCTTGTCTACAACTATAGTAAACTGTTGTAGAATCGTGGTCTTTCTGGTGACGACCGTGTCAAAAACAACAAATCACTATCACTTGGCGACTTGACTCCGCACTGAGGATGGCACTCTACATCAAGGCCAAACGTCGGTTAGTGATAGTGATTCATCGATTTTGACAAGGTCTTCCAGAAGACCACGATTCTACAATAAGTGACGGTGGAAGCATATCCAAGAAAAATATAGTAAACATATATATGTTTTAGGTTGTATAGTAAACATAAATATGTTCAACATTTGATTAGACGAAGATTCGTGGTAATTGTCATACAACGTGTTATCTTGACTTTTCCTTCAACCTGTGTTGTGAAATTTTAAGTGTTTACAAAACGTCTGCCTACTTTTCCTGTGATCTAATATCTTATCTATTTGTGGACCCCCAGTCAACTACCCTACACTGCTTCTCGCTTGTAAACTAAACTAAAACTCCTTTCATTCGTAGACTGCTCCAAAACACAGTGTACAGACAAGCACATAATTGTTCCTGAATGCTATATAACTTTATAATTCTTACTTTCAGCTTATATTCATCAATAACGTATGACTTAACCTATCTTATCGCAGTTTTAAACTTTTTACAAATATTTTTTAAATTTTTCACTTAAGTGTTGGATTGATTTGAAATAACAAAAAGGCCTGAGAGAAATTCCATTCATCCATTTTATTTGAATTTTGTCCTGATCACAATTGATTGTGTAATTTTTTACCAGCATTTTTAGCTAAGTATTTTATTGAATAATATGTCCTACTTAATTCTTAATTTTTATAATTTTTATAACATTTCTCAATATGTGTACTCTATAATATGATTTTAAAGATTTCAAAAATATAGTTTTCTGGTCTATTCAAATTTGATCATTTGAGTAGCATAAAATTGTTCTGGAGTTTTTTGCTTTGCTAGAACTGTGGAAACCGTAATTATTTGTTTTTATTGCATTGTGCAGTTATTATACTGCATGTTTAAATTACCAGAAATAATTATATTTAATTTCCAGCATGTCCTGATACAAATCTGAGCAATTTATTGTTGTTATTTCTACTTATATTTGGCTTTTCATTTTCTACTTATTTTAATTGTTGAATGTTTATATACATTATATCACCCTTGTTTCTTTATTGGTGTCTCTTGAATGATAGTTAGTCCTATCTATGGTTACTTTCTCGTTCACTTGTAAATATTTAATTTCACTTAGGAAGTAGATTTTTGAAGTTTACTCTCGGAGGATTTAATTTAATTTTTTGAAAGCTACTGATCAAAACCTCAAGTATTGACTTCAGGCTTTCTGAGGAGTGTTGCAATCTATAATCCTCGATTCAATTCTAAATGTTATTAGAGATGTTTAGTACACACAAATTATTTGTAAATCTTTTAACTTTTAAGGAATTTGTATTGATGGTTGTTGTGGTTTTTCACACATTGAAAAGAGATTGAATTAACTTCAGACAGAAACTTTACAATGTTGGGCCTATTGCAACAGTGAATTTTGGTATGATAAACTTGAACAGGGTAGATTATGATGTAAATGCAGTCACCAACATTATCCATATAACTTTCACACTAAAATATTTTGTTGTTGTTTAAAATGTTTTACTTTAATATACCTTTTTATAAATATTATTAACCTTCTTAATATACTTCTAGATTATTAACCATCTTTTAGTTGTTATTCCTTTGCATTTTCCCTCAAAATAAAAAATAATCATTACTTGAGATCAAAGCATTTAAATTTGCTCAAATAGTCCTACATTTTTTAAGCCGATCAAAAAAAAACTTGAAATGCAGTCTCGCCCATCCTCTGAAATATATTTCTTAAATTTAAAGAAGTAACTTAAAGGAAACACCATAGGTATTTCTGTTCAGCTTTGATCAAGCTAAGTAATATTCAGACAATGATTTTGTTAAGACCTAAGATACAATACTAGTTAGTATGTTAAATAATTGGTGAAAATACTCAGCTTTTTACAAGCATTGTTTCTGGGTTTATACTTATGGTATGAAATGTAATTTACACAATCGAAACATTTGTTTTATGTATGTTTCAGTGAGTATCTGTATGATATGGAAATTGTATTTTTTTCAGGCAATGTACCGTAGACTGTTGGAAAGTAGGAAGGAAGCGCCAAAACACGACCCAGAAATGACGCTACAGTTCCTTAAGTCTGCTTTCTACTACTTCCTCACAGACCGGGAGAACGCATCAGGCCACCTTGCGGCCATCGAAAGTATCCTCGGCTTCTCGGACAATGAGAAAATCAATATCGAACGAGCTTTTCTTTGGAGATAATTTATATAACACTTAACCTATTTAAGATACCTCAATACGTTTAAGCATACCAATAACGTAATCGTATCTTTGTTCAATATTTAGTTTACTATATGTTTAAGTTTGTTCAGAATTAGTAATTAGTTGAAAAATACTTGCCTTGTTTGATTTAAAATGATTTTAACTGTCCGATGTTGGTTAAAATTCATCGTAACTTTTGTGTATTGTTTTTTAACGCAGATTTTACGCAAGCAGTAAACGGAAGACTTTAAAAATGTGTCTTAATATCGATTGGTGCTTAAAGGTTGTATTTTATGCTGCAAATTTGATCAAACTTATTATTTTACATTTTAAATAGATTTTCATCATGGTTTAACCAAGACAAGCTTGTTTTTATCACGTTTCCCATCACAATTTTAATACTTTTAGTAAAAGACACTGAGTTTTTCCACATACAAGTGTTTTTGTTGTTTTTTTGTCATCATATCCATAATTGTTTGTGAATTGTGTTCGGTGTGTTATGTTTTGTAAACATAAGTTAATAAGAAGCTATGCAGTATTTAGTGCAGATAAGTACATTGCAGTATTATAGACTGTTAGAGTAAGTTATTGTGATAATTTAAATGTTACCAACAATCATTAGAGGTGAATGCAGTGATGTAATGGCTTAGATTGAATATTTAATTTCTTTGAAGTATTTGTGCAATTGAATTTAGTTAAAACTATTTCAAGCATAAAATATGACAAAATACAGCTTAATTTTCAGCGGTTTAGAACAATCACATAAGATTTAATTATTGTGTTTTTTTCTTTAGTTTAAAGTAGCTATAATAATTTAGCTTTAGTTCAAATGTTTCATATATCACAATTTAAAATATATTGATATTAATGTAGAGCTTTTAAGTGATTGTAATATAGTGCATTTAATCCTAGTGAGGTCTTGACAAATTATGACATTATTACAAAATGTCTCAGACAGAAGTAAATAGGTACTAAGAGTTTTAGTCTAAGGCAATACAGGTAAAGCTAGTCAGTAAGTTTGGTTGCAGACTTTTGTAAATAGCTCTTAAGTGGAAGCGTTCAATTCAGCTATTCAATTTTTACCGGGTGAAGGGATACGGGTTGGGAAATTTGCGATTATTTTGGTATCGTCATTAAAAGACTAAATATAGTTTTGGGTAGATTTTATTGACATTTAGTAGAATTTACGTCTTAGAGAGTAATTTGTTGTATGAAATTATGGATTCAAACTCTGTTTTGCAAGACTATTGTAAATCCAATGTGTTAAATTTTGCAAGTCAGTTCAAAATCCTAACGACCATTGCTTCTTGAAAGTATTTTCCAATTCAAAACATTCAATTCATACCTTCCCGAGTTAGATGTAATTTTTTTATGTTTTACTAAATGTGCCAACCTTAATTTGTGTTCTTTTAGCAAAACTCTCTCTTGACACCTTTTTACATTGTCTTTAAAACATTTTTTTTCACTAAAAACATTCCCTATTCACTCAAACAATACAAATTTTCATATCTGTCCACATAAAATATAATCAGTTTATAAGCCTTTATTTTGATATTTGTTCAATGTTCAACACATTGAATTTAATAAGTTATAATAATTTAGAAAAGGTTTGCCTCATTTATTATTAGTTTTTAGTTGTGTTTTAAATTATACTCTTACATATCTCTCTTGAAAGTTGTAGTTTTTAAGTAAGCTACTTTTCCGCCCTAATAGAAAAAGTCAATTTGTTTATTTATCCTTCCTTAACTGTTTCCATTACTCTTGTATTTTATAAAATGTCCTGAGAATAAAATGTAGATTTAGTGAAATAAACAATTAAATAAGCTATGTGGCAATATTGGAGACAGTTTTTTGTGGAAGATTCTAAAAACATAGCTGCTGAATGAGTGTGAAAGTCTTGCGTCCTTTAACTTAATAACTTTAACTGCATTCAATAATGTGTTTGTCTACAAGACATAAGGATCATAAGTCATAGCATTAAGTTCAAGTGTGGCAAATGTGGTTACATGAAATGCTTCACGAAGCAGAGACCTTAGTCGCATGCTAAAATAAACTTTGCAACTAATCTTTGAAATAGTATATTGTTAGTCTTTCATCTGCTATGTGATTTGTAGTTTTATTTGTGTACGTAAGCCTGAACCAAAGCTGATCTACTTTTGCAATAGTTCCTCCTGCAAGGCAACAGTGATTGTAATCACACTAAATAAATTATCATTTGTTACTTGTTTCAAAGATTTTTTTATTTTCAACCTCCATCTTTAGCAGTGGGAAATTGGGAATCCAACACTATGACACAAATAGAGGTGGATTTATCCTTCTCTTAGTATCTTTGTGCATCATTGTGATTTTCAGTTATTAAAATCAACAAAATCTGTATCTTAATCAAATTAATCAGACACATACATCTAAAGAATCGAATCATCACATTGTGTCATTTATTTGTTCATTATTAAACATTTCCATCAGACAACAATTTTAAAGATTGACTGTTTTATGTTTAATGTTGGTTTCATAAAACTTGTACCTCATTAGGGGTTTTAAAACTCATACTGGTATCTTTAAGTCAATCTGCTGGGTTCAGCAAGTATAGAGTGCTTGTTCTACAGGGTGGTCATAAATTATTGGACACATTTTAAGATTATATAAACAAATAACAAAGCAACTTAGAAACATGGGAATTGTTTCATTGAGTAGCAAATTTAAAACAGTTTAATACAGCAACTGCAAAACAATCTTACTTAATTATATAAATGTCAGTAATTGTAAAAAGTGGTTATACAAAATGTGCAAAAAATACTCAAACAGTGAATGTAAGTTGTTTTTGTTATGACTTGTGTTGTGGCCTTGTCAGCATAAGGTACGGTTACACCAGAGCGAACCGAACGTTCACTGGTGTTCGCTGTGGTTCGCTAGCATTCGCGAACACCTGGGAATGGGAGTAGTCACACCAGAGTGAACACACACGAATCGTCTTGATTGAAACGTCATTCGCTTGTGCTCCGAAACCACAAGAACTGCACGGTGACGATAATCCCTGTTATCGTCACCGTGCAGTTCTTAAGCAGAATAACTGTTTAATAACGATTTAAAAAAATGTTAATTTTTTATTTAACAGTTTATAATCAGCTATTAGGATCCCATAACACTGGCCTTGCTTTATATTCTCCAATCAGCTCCAACACTTTGTCATCAGTCCATCCATAGTTAAACGAAATAGGAAAAATTAATTGTAGTACAACTAAAAAAAAAACCACCTTTGACCTTAACAACTTGTTGATAGCAGTAATGTAGACACCGGCAAGGACCAGACTGGAGTCACTCCGATGTGGTCACACTGAAGCGAGCACCGAACTCGAGTGAACGCGAATTTCCTTTGATCGTTCGCGCTGAAACCGACAATGGATGGAGCAGGCGCGAACACGAACATGTGACTACCGAGCACTGCTGAACACGGCCGATTGGTGTTCGCTGCACCGGTCACACCGAAGTGAATTTCGCATTCTACTGCTCGTTCGCTCCTGTTCGCTCTGGTGTAACCGTCCCTTTACAAGATACTCCATGACAGTGAGCGCGTTCTGGGAACATGCACCGGTGCACCGGTGTTGCCCCGGTGCAAAAAATGTGTCGTTCTGGGAGACCGGTGAGTTAACCTAGCAGACAGCTATTTCCTCTTTTTCCTCCACCGGTGCAAGATTTATGCACCGGAGAAATTGTACGGTGCATAATACACCGGCGGCCTCTGATTGGTCAGTTTCTTTGACAACAGCTTGCAGCCACGGCAAGATGGCGGGTCCACCGAATAATGTTCATTAGTTTTATAGGTTATGTTGCGTAATGAGTGAATAATTTATTCTATGAGGGGGTTAAATTACGTATTAAGGGAATAATTTTCAAATAAATTATTCTGTGAGGACACGTTTGTTTGGTTTAAATATTATAAAGTAAATAGTAGGTGAATGTGTAAATTATAATCCGATGTGTACCGTAAACCGGTGAATAACCGTTCTGGGATACCAAGACTCTTGCCCCGGGGCGGTACCGGTGAATAAGTCGCCGGTTAATCTGCACCGGTGCACCGGTACATGTTCCCAGAACGCGCCCTTATAGCAAAACCAACAATGGAACAATGGACCTTTCTACACCAGCTGTGTATGACATTTGGTAATCAAACCTTGAACTTGAACCAATCAAGTAACAAAATTAATTACTAGTGTGCAATAAAAAGCAACGTCTTTGGTTTCATGAAAGCAAATCTGTAATAACTGTTCAAAGAAGGCTTCGTTTAGAGTGTATGTGGCCGTAATTCTCTGTGTAGAAATTCTATAAAATGGTGGTACAGACAATTAGAACGACTGGAAAGTGTCCAAAATATAGTTTAAAGGGTCATCACCCCATATGAACACAACTTTTTTAAATAAAGAAAGAAAATATAATTGATTAATTTTCAGAGTTTACACAAAATAAAACATACCTGGGACCTTTTAAATAAAGAAAGAAAATATAATTCATTAATAGTTGTTAAACTTTATTATTAACTGTGTTTACAGAAACTTGTTTTCTAAGATAAAACAATCATACACATGATTTAATTAATTATATAAACCATGTGATTCTAAATAGTCAATGAGCAAGTTAGTTTCTTTCAATAAACTTACAATAACAGTTTAGGTGATTTTTATGGTCTATAACTACTTTTCATAATTGCTGACATTTTTATATTGTTTTTTTTGCAGTTACTGTATAAAACTGTTTTAAATTTGCTATTTAATGAAACAATTCCCATGTTTCTAGGTTGCTTGGTTATTTATTTATTTTATCTTAAAATGTGTACAATAGTAATTTATGACCACCCTGTATTATAAAAACTTTAGCTTGTTTTGTTAATGTTATATACCTGGTAGCTTAATTATTGTTGTCATTCGACCAAAAAAGGATGATGAATTTATAGAGGAGAATATTTTGATTTAGAACGTTGTACTTCTTATTTCTAGGCTGTTATGGTCAGAGGAGACAAAAGTCCCTCTTTTCAAAGACTTTACTATCAACAAAAGATCAATTTATTATTATAATATATGGCTTTTGCTTTTAATGGAGGTCGGTCTCCAAAACACAGACAGAACTTGCTTGCCCTTAAGACACCAATCCATTTTCATTTTCTTCATTAGCTGAGCAGGTGGACCTAAAACTTACGATCTGACTGAACCTTTCATGGCATTATCACAAAGCTGAAAGCCATGGGTAATTGGCAAGAGAGAGCTAGGTTTGGCATAAACTCTTTCATCGTTCGAAATCTAACAAGATAAGAAAGGTAAGTTTTTACGTCCAAATGATGATTTTATTGAGATCATTATACAACCATGGGAGTAATATTATTTAGGGATGAGTTAAGCTACACTAGACAAATAGAATTAAATAATTATATTTTTGTCTTGGTTACACCAAAACACTAGGTTTTCGGGGTTTAATCCAGCTTGAAAACACATTTTCATGTGATATGATACACACTATATTTTCAAACATGAAAATATTTGTAGGGGAGACCTTTTATTTAATTCGGTTTGAACTGAAAGTAAATATGGTTATATGGTTATCAATGCCTGAATGCTTGATCAAGGTTGAAGGTCTGTCGCTCACTGAACAAACGGAGATTGGAGATAGTAATTTTCTTACAAAGAAACAGATCAATACCAACGTCTCACTATACGAATGGGGAACGTAGTTTTTCAGACCATGCGAGCTACCCAGAACCTTGATGTCATGGAAAACTCCATTTCCCATCCTCTCATGGATCACGCCTGGTATGAGCCGCAAACTTCGGCGTGCATGCATTTTCCTACCTTTCCTAAACAAAAGTGTGCAAAATATCGTACATTGTCTTTCTTATTATCAATGCAAAGAATTAAAAATTGTACATCATACTGACTTTTTATGGATATAGCTTCATATCTCTCATCAAATTACAATGAATGGTTTAAACATTGACGAAAAAACGTGTGGGTGTTCTTCGTAGTCGCAAATTACCTTTATAATTTTAATTGGTTTGGGTTACCCTTGATAATTTTGAGTATGTGAGGTGGAATATTCGAGTTAACAAAGTCCCTTTCCCAAGAGGGATTTTAGACCAATAATTTTTACTATGCAGTTGATATCCAGAATTTTCAATTTTATTCAAAGTACAAATGCATCAACACAGCCAAGGGCCTTGGACTTCCTGGACACCGAACAGTGAACACTGTAATGTCATACAGAAGACGGTTATGTACAAATTGTACAAATAGTAGCAAAACAGATCAAGAGCGATAAAAATATAAATCCTTACATATTTTTATCGCGTGAGTACTTTGTATAGTGTGAGTCAGTTACTGTATCGCACCAATATCAAGTAGGCTTCAGTACACGAATGCTTGTAGACGTAACTGCTGTAGTGTAGTCGTGTTGGCAACCGTGTGATTATCATCGCCAAACGTCAACGTCAACATTCCCTGAGTTCTCTCTTTCCATTGCATCTTTTTACCCAGGAGGTGGTTGAGAGTGCGTTGTTTTGGGCGTTTTACAAGTTATTTGTTGTGGAAGATATTTTATTATTTAAACACAGCTTAATTAACATGGCCCCCAAGCAGAGGATGCGTATTGCTAATGAAAAGGCCAGTAAAAACGTATTAATTCGTGGAAATGTCCCTAAATCATCGGTGAGTTTTCGAACTAGGCTATGCTAGTAATAAGTCTATAGGCCTACAATTAAGTTAGGTAGACCAATATCAGTTTAGTGAAATACACTGTCCAGATTTCCTAATGAAATTAGATGAAGTAGTCCTAAAGCAAAACTATATGATAGTTTTTCCTGTTTTAATATTGAATGTTATCTCATTAGGTTCCTTAGTAGGCTAATTTATAGCCTGAGGATTCTGCCATATGTTTTGTGAGCCTTTAGCCCATTTATTACATAAGTTGCAATAAGCTACAATTTTCCAACATGAAACGAAAACGAAGTTTTGACAACTAACTTATGTTAACAGTTTTGGCCTTTTATCTCACTGAGAATACTTTTATTGTTTTGAAGGGTAACTTAGGACTTAGGTTTACAAAATCTATTTCTTGTGATCTTTTAGCCCTGTCCATGATATAAGGGGGTTTCTAATATTATTCTATCTGAATTCCAATAAGTTGGCTATCAAGCAAATATTTGTGCATATCCAACATTAACACGTTCAGTGCAAGGGGCGGGAATTCACGCCCCGCGGTCCCGGCGTTACTGGTGCGGGGCGGAAATCACGTCCTTCACCAATGCCAACAACTTTGCTTCAATGTGAGCTCAGCCATTGCCGGGGAACGTTGTAATTGTTGCCAGCCTGTAGCGTAGAATGCGAGCTTTATTTTGGTGTAGGTTGGTACTTAAGTAACATTCCCGTAAAATCCCATCTGGTAATGCTTTTGTCCTGTTTTCGGGGATTTTCTCTTTGAGCCATATTACAAAGACTCTGGTTATTGATCCATGCAGTGCTGCTACCTTTGGGTGTTTCAGTGAACCTACGTCCACTTTCGGAGTAACGCAGAACAATCACCACTGCTCTTTTGTGATTCGTCTTACTGGATATTTCAATGCTAACAGCGATCGCTGATTCAGTTAGCGTGCCGGGGCTCCGCCCGGGCCTCGCCGCTGTTTAGGAGCGCCCGTTTAAAGGTTTTCAGCAGTGAACGTGTTAAAGAATGGAAAGACCTCATTTAGGTTAGGCCTTTCCTCTACGCAAAGAAAATTGCACACGGACTAAGTTATGCCCCAACACTAATATTGAATTACTTTAAGGTGATTTCTAACCACAATTTTGCCCTCTTTCTATTTATTTTTCCTAAGTACAATGAGTTGTATGTTTCACAGAAACCAGTAGATGAAAAATACCCTGTTGGACCATGGCTGCTTGCTCTCTTTGTCTTTGTGGTTTGTGGATCAGGTTCGTAAACAAGTTAAGTTTATTTGAGATACAGTACCTATAGACAGTGTTTCCCAACCTTTTTTTCTTGTGTCTCGAATAGGCCTACACAACCTTTTGTGTTAGGCTATCTGACCATTTCTGTGGAGGTATTTGTTTACTTTAGCCTATAGGGATTTCTAGCGAATTTTTCAAAAAAATATATTTATGGTAGGCTACTTTCCTGTTAGAGTACCTTAACTTGATAATTTTTTTCCTTGATTTATTAAGTGGAACTAGTTAAGTGCCCGTGCTCCCCCACTGGAATATTGTCAGCAATAAAAGACATAACAAACACTGTTAATCTTTGAATTTTATTTAGGGTCTGCTTATTTTTTACATGAAATAGAACTGGTAGCTGGCCTGAATATACTATTTATGTTAATCAAACCGATACTTTAGTGTTACCAAATGAATGTCTTATATTAATTCCAGTTTCATTTGTAAAATAAATAGTGTACGAACTGGGCGATGCTGATAACCTAATAAGCTACTTATGCTATAGTGATCATTAATTTGTTCATGTATTTGTTCATTAGTTGTTTGTTAGTACATTACATTCGTTAACGCACTAATCAGCACTTTCCTTCGGGTCATTCAGAAAAACAAACACATTATCCAAAAATACAAAATTTACATTGTAGTTCAAGGTATCCAGCGTACTCGCCATCTTGAGAAAGTAAACTTTGGTACTGCTGAACGTTAAGCACTGAATTTGAATAAGACCTGCAATAAAATCATTGTATATTTCCCACTCATTAGCAATTTTCTGTACAACTTGCAAGCGGACCTACGATTTTTCTGGTGGTCATAGAGAATAAATTGTATTGATCGGAACAACCAGTTTTGTCCCCTACTATGGGTATTATTTCACATTCCATACTCAAACTTAACCCTTAGAGTGCCAGGCGAGAAATAAAAGTAACGCTCAAAAAATGCCGATGATTTTTCCCGAAGGTCGCGCTAAAAATGCCGAGCGCGATCTGGCGATTTTTAGGTTAAAATTTCGTAAAAATCGAATTTTCGATATTTCGACCAACGAAAATCGATGTATTGCATCTATTAACTTTCGACTCAATGTTAATATTTGGGTTAAAAGAATCCGAGTATTCATTCGGTTGTTATGACAACTGTTCGATCATTACGAAACGTCCGGTCAGCCGGACGTTGGCACTTTTGGCTCGTTCTAAAAACGTCCGGTCGGCCGGACGTCGGCACTTTTGGCTCGTTTTAAAAACGTCCGGTTCCCCGGACGTTGGCACTCAAAGGGTTAAACTCAATTACCACTTTCCTTTGGATCACTAGGAAAACTAACACTAGGCTATTCGAAAATACAAAATTTACACCAAAACATACAAATAATGTTCAAATACATTCATAAATAATAAATTGTGGTATAAAAAGCATAGGTAACAAATACACTTTTCTTTGTTAGAAATCAAGTGTTTATAAACAGGAACTCCTAGAATAAAACACTGAAAGTTAGGTTATAAAAATAATAACAAATGTATGACAACACACAAAACAGCTGACAAATAATTTATAAACTGTGTATTATATTCTTCAATAAGAATTGTATTGACTCAACCTTTGAAGGGCTGTAGGTCGTAGCCCATAGAACAAACGAAATATTCTAAGGAAGTTCCAGCATGCGTTATCCCCGTTAATTTGAGACATAAATCTTGTAGATCGGTCCAGTAATGCCTGAGAAAACAGACTTACAACTGTGTATTAAATATATAGATTGAAACATATCAGCTGACAACTACGATGAATAAGTATTGTTCAGTAGGTATCAACAAACTATATAACTAAATTTGAAGAAAAAATACTTATCTTATATTGAAATGAAACTGTTCTAAACTAACCTTTTCTTACTTTCAACATGTTTTTATTAATAACTAGCCTTACCTAATGTAACCTTGGTTTAACCAATAATCTGTAATTTTCGGCATTTTGCTAACTTAAGCATGGGTTATGTCGGGTTAGGTTAGGTTAGATAAGATAAAGTTTATCAATTATTGAGATGGGGACACCACCTAGGTGCGAATTTTACTGGGGGTTCTGTGTTTATCAAATTGTACTCAAGTTTTGGAAACCAGGAAAAATACCCTGAATCAGGTTTATAAAACTGGGTATCTTGCGTTTTATTTTTCAAATCGTAGTTGCCAAAAGCCTACAAACTTGAGGTTTCCATTTTTTTAAAGTGTTTCAATGGCTGTTGCGTCAATTAAAAAATAACAACTACAATGGGATATCGTGAATGTTGCTGTGATCTCGGAAGATCTTAACGATTTCGTTGTAATCGTAACAGAGGTTTACGGATGCTGCTAAGCTAGCTTTTCTAATTGTCACTTTGTGTTTTCACGGACTGCATTGCTGGACCATAATGCCAATAGGCCTATGGCCCATTTCCTATCGGTACACGGGCCTACCCAATTGTCCGTAACCACAATTAATTCGACGTCGGTTTTCGGTACCCGCTACTTCGGTTCATATCTAGAAAAATGCACACTTAATACGCAAACGAACTGTTGTTCTGAATATAGGCCTAATAAGGTTGCAACTGACTACAAGATCCCTGTCCGTAGACAGGCACACAGCTAGTTCATAAATAAATACTGTACCTAAACCTTTTTTGGAGCAGATGAGCGATTGACCTGTGATACGTAAAGTAAATTTTTCACTTATGCTTGGACAGATTTAGGTGCATCTGAAAGAATTATTTTCCAATTTACATGTTAATGCACTTTTAATTGTTCAATATAATTGTTCTATATAATATTTGTCTGTTCCAGCTGTTTTCCAGATCATCCAAAGCATTCGAGCAGCGTAGCGCTCAAACATGCAGCTCACCACACCATCATTGGGTAAATTCAAGAATTTCCTTGTCTCAAATGTCATAAAAATATTGGCGCACAACACATTTTGCTGAACTCATTTATATTTTTTCTTTTTGGAAAAAATGTAACTGGTTATTCTTTTTTTTGAATTAAAGATGTTTGTTGTTAACTGTACTACTTACTTATTATTTATTTTACAAAGACAGAACACACTATTTCCGATTTAGAATCACATTTAGACGTGTCATCGCTCAAGGTTGTTGTGGACAAATTTTAATAGGGGATATAAATATTGTAAATAAATACCATTAACACAATTAATTTGTACAGTGTACGCCAAGTGACTGCTGGCGATGAATTGGATACCATTCCAGACTTAGGTTTTTTACTTGTATTTCGTTTTGAATATTTATTTATTTTATACAAGGTTTAATGATTTCTTTTTGAATTGAAAGTATATTTTAGAGATGTAAACTTAATAAAAAAGTTATATATTTAACAGTAGTAATTATTTACCAGCTCCATGTATTGCACATCATGTAATTAAAATTCTAAATCACTACTACCTACAGTGGAACCTCAATAAGAAGACCCTCGATAAAAAGTGGCCCTTGACAATAAGTGTCATTTTCACTGCTTCTTGATTTTATGTTACCCTTAATTACATACGGTATTAAATAAACCTCAATGAGGAGTTAATCTTGATAAGAAGTCATATTTGATCATCCCCATGAGAGACTTGTCGTCAAGGTACTGTACAGCTCGTGACATCTAAGCTGGCACTTGGCCTATCGCTACTAGTACCTATTTCAAAAACATTATGTCCCGCCATGCGGGTTGCATCAACTGTCCTCGCGACCCATATGAAGGCGCTCAAGTACAATGCAAGGGGAGTCAACCCCGCGAGGCAGCGGAAATGTTTGCAGTCCGGTCTTTTCCCTACCTCCACCCTCCTCCCGCCTACACTGCCCGCGCTAGGCCAAGTGCCAGCTTAGGTGTCACGAGCTGTACATGTATTATAAAAGTAAGGTTTGAGTACCTAGCTTTATAGCTCATACAAAGCCGTTAGACACAGAAACATAATTTATCAAATTTTATTTTCTATTTTAACACCACAATAGCTAGACCACAAAAACACAGTCAGTGTTGATGGATCAGTGTTGTCCATTCCTATTATCACATAAATATTTTTATGCCACACTACACTGTTTTAACGAACTTCCCACGCAAGGATTTAGTCCAGAAAACAGCTGTTTGCCATCAGCTTAATCAAATGGGGTTTCATTATGTACTACTGTGTAATGAGTTTTACCGGGCACCAACCAGCTGATTATACTGTATATGGCAATGAGTGGTTATAAACAAAAACATAACCATGACTAGTGATTGTTAGTCCTTTAGTTGGTAGTAATATAATATAAGGATTTTAACAGATTTAGTGGTCGACTTCGTCTCGCACGGGAGACCACACTTGTACGGTAAACACCTATTTTCAGGACTAGTAACGTAACATACTATTATTCATTACACTTATCGATACACCTTTATTTTTACCTTTTTGCCTTTCAGAATGAAAATGTGTAATAACTTGAATTACACACATATCTAAAGTATAACTAATGGTGGAGGGCATAGTAGCGATGGTCAAAACCAGATTTTGAATTCGAAACAAAAAATTTAAATCTGAATGTCAACCTATACTAGGGGACATAAGAGTCTGCAGTTTGCCGCAGCAAATACAAATACTGGACTAGCGCGACGTTGCAACATCACCCGTTTACTACTTTTCAACACTAATTAAAATATACTAAACAATATTTTCAAATCAGCTGGTATTATTACTAGATTTGGCAACACCCTACTGTCCTCATTGGCTCCTTCGAAGTCACATGGTAAATAGGCTCCTCCATCAACTGCAGACAAATGTGAATCCTTTTTAGCAGTCTGGTTAAGGTTACAAAAAAATACAGGTCAATTATATTAGTTTTTATGATGCCTGTTGCAGTTCAGAATATAAATTATTTGTTTTAGCATCAGTGTTAATACTGTAGAAATATGGACAGCTTAAAAAATTTAATTGAGAATCTAATAATATAATTGGCATTATTGTTAACATATTTGTGAGTAACACACCAAACCAGTTTGATTTGTTTCCTTGTAAGAACATTAATGGATATTGCACATTATTTTGAGATCACTGAGATCAGCCAGGTTAAAAGAAATAAATAATAGAGACAACAAAAACTGAAGGCTTTGTGACTGATCAAATTTCAAAACAGAAACTTAAACTCGTCAACCAAATCTCAAACCCGAAACTTTTCCAAAGTTTTTTTGTTTTGAGATTAGTTCGGCTCTGACACAATCACAAAGGCCTCTCTCTAAAGTACACACCCCTAGTTGAAGAGAGCTCATATAAACGTTAGATATCTACCTTCATTTCAAGGTTTAGCACTTAATAAATCTGATTGAAAGGAGACAACTCATTTGTTTCATAAGTACATTTTTATTGTATATGGTACATTTATACTACATATAGTGCTATAATAAAAAATCAATATGTCTGACATATTTTTTACAAATAATACACAAAGCATAATTATAATACATGGATATTTACAATTTTCTACCCTACATCAGTCTTGTCATCTGGTGTTGACACGCTCCTGATCCTCGATTAACGCAGTCAGCTTCTGGCGGAGCTTCTTATTCGTCTGGCAAGCACAGCTGATCAGTGCCAACATCTGTTTGCTAGAGTACTCCTAAAAAATAATAAACATTTGTTAGTATTCCACAAGGTTCAATCCTAGCTCCTCTCTTACTCCTCACATATATTGATTTACCTTTTCATTTTTCAAGTCAAATCTGTAACTTTACCCTTTATGCAGATGATACAACAGCTCTCATCAGACGAGTGTTGTGACTCTGAATTAGAGTTAATAATATTTGAAGCACACATTTGAAGAAACTCTTTTTACAAACTGCAAATTGAAAAAAGAAAACATTGTTTCTTAATTAATGACAGCTGATCATATACAGTATAAAGAACACTACAATATCCCCCACTTATTTTGAACTCATCTTGTAACATAGTCTTTAAGGTAATCTGGAGCTTTATGAGTGCGAGTTGAACATCCTATTCGTGGTCCTGGTGATGCAAAAAACTCCTCGGTCACTTGACTTACGTTATGTTCACGCACGAAGGTCTCCAGAGCAGACTCGGGTAGGTAGTACGCCTTGACATATGCGTCCACCAGCTCTCTATGAGGTATGGGCCGCAGTGAGCACATCTTCTCTACCTGAGAAACTAGCTGAGTCCAGTCAAGCTGCATCAAGCCTCGGCCACCATTCGAACACTTCTTCGCACTTGCAAACCTAAGATAGCAAAATAGTTTCACTCAGAATCTGTTTGTTAATTTGTAACTAGTTATTATATTTTCATTTGTTTTCTATGCCTTTGACATATTATGTTTTTTGTAAGGGTATGGGTACAATCCCTGACCTTGTTACTTTCTAAGGTTGGATAGTGTCATTAATTGACAGCCTAGCAATTAATGGAATCTGTGCCCATGAAATCTGTGGTCCCTTGGAATCGACAAGGGATTTGAAGTCAAGCACCATAAACACTACCCAGGTTATTTAGGCTACCTACTTATTAGGTCTTTATGGGTAGGGAAAAGAATAGCTTGGTACAGTAGACTCCCTCTAGTTCGGCCACCTCGGGACCGGACCACTGGCCGAACTACAAAACGGCCGGACTAACCGGATTTAGTGCATTTTACATAATCAAAATACAAATGATAGTATTGCGCAATCGTGATATGTGAAGTCAATAACCTTGGTTCAGTAATAAAAACTGAAACGTTTAAAATCACGCTTACTCAATCAAAACAAAAATTACACAACACTGTACGTACAGCAATAAATCACGTAAAGAACAGAACAATAGAAAGTCTAGTACTGCAAGCTACCGTAGTCAGCATAGGCTACTACTAAATGTTGTTTCAGAGCATAAGAACGTCAATAAAAACATTAGACAGTTTATAAAACAGCATAAAATCATAGTACTTAGTCTTAAAGATAATAAGGACAGTCGTAAAATATGATAAAGATAACAATGGATGACGTAAAACACCGCTTATTCTTTCTTCTTTATTCTTCTATTCTTTCTTTGCCTCTTTGGTTTCTCTTCATCCACACATTCAACAAGTTGCCATAGTTACTAATCACCCAATCACAAACTGCAAGCAAGTGCACAGCAGACATCAGTTTGTGTGAGCAGATGATTGTCAGTGCAAGCGGATAGCTTGACCTTGAAGCTAACGATGGCTATTTCTTTGTTTTGCTTTAATTTATTTTTGTCAAATAAACCGTAGTGTTTCAAAAACAATAATGGGGGAACCTACTGCATAAAAAAGTGGTCCGAAATATTTAATTACACACTGCATTTCAACATATTCGACTGAAGAAAAATTATTTATAAAAAATGTTCTTGGTATTTTTGAGGTTATGTAACATAGTTTTACATAGGTAATATCTGTAATATGCAACAATTCACCCATAGAAGCACCCGTAAACTAAACTGACATGAATTGTTTACTTCTATGGCCGGAAACTAAACATTCACGTTCAATCCTGTCGAAGGTCATTCGCCGGTGACATATGACTTGTCCCCCTGAGACCGGGCCGGACCATCCGGCGGCCGATCCAACCGAAGCCGAACTAGAGGGAGTCTACTGTAATTAGGTAGATTTTAAACAGTGTGACTCTCAAAAATGCTACTTTACTAAAAGTATGCTTCTAGATCGAAACTTAACCATCACGGTCAACAGAATTTATATTCAATTCAGTCTTAGACATTTTTTGTCTAGGGAGATAAACTATGGTTTCGATTTACAGTTTGCCTTATGTTGTAATGTAGTGAGGAAACAATTCAAAAACTGTTAAAGTCAACAAAGACTCTTCTCAGAGGCTGATTTACTTTGATTATGGTAAGATAACCACAATACACTCACCCTTCGACAAACACATCTGCGAGCTGATAAGCGATGTTGCCCCACAAACTGTCTGTGACTGCCGCAGGTATCTTTATGTGTTTGGATATTTCCTCTAGTCTCATGCTAAAAATTTGCAAATCCTGAAAAATTTATAAATTACAATATTACAACCACACTATAACACTTTCACAACATAAAAGTATAAAGTGAAAGATATAAAATAATTTAGCAAAGGCACACTCAGTGGACTTTTTTAAATAAATACAATATACTGCGGAATTTTCACAGTAACATCCCGGAACTGATGTGTGTGAGTCGACCTTTGTGAGGCATCCCATACACACCAGCTACAGCCAAATCTTTATGGAAAACGGTAAATTACTTTTTCCTGTTGATTATGGAAGAAGTTTACCAAGCGCAGGATTTCATTCGGATACTGTAAACCTAAACATCAATCAATCAAGAGCGCGGGACTACGGTTCCTGGGTTCCCGGGATCGAATCAA